GGAACCAGATATACCAGTAGAAGAAGTGACAAATGTACCAGTAGAAATACCAACTGTGCCAGCACAAAAGACACCAGAAAGAGAAATTGGAAATATACCCGTAGGAGACAAACCCACGATAGTAAATCCAAGAATCAAGTCAAAAATACCCAAGAAAGCACAGGAGGCTATGAAGAAGAAATTGGAAGAAAAGAGAGCGAAAATGAAAAAGGAAAGAGAACGAATCATACAGAACAGGAAGATTAAAGGAAAAGCAGAAGAAAAACTAAAGATGATCAAAGAAGCCAATGCACGGAGAAAGAAAGAAGCAGATAAATTAGAAGAGATGGTACCTGGTATACCAGAAGAAACTGTTCAAGATATGCCAGAAGAAAAGAAGGAACCTGAGATTCCATTTGTTTTACCGAAGAACAGGAAGAGAGGGGCAGCAAAGCCACTTCACGAAGAGGCTATTGAAGAAAAAGCCAAAACACACCTTAGAAAAGACAAAAACAAAGACATAGTACTCCCTATTAATGCCAAAAAGGCAAGGAAGAAGCTCAAGCCAACCCCAAAAAAGAAATAATTGATATTAGGCAAATCACTAACTAAATTAATGTTCATTATTTACCAATAAATTATTTGATCACATGATTAAGAATGCTACTGGTTAATACACCCTATATTATTTATTAGTTAGTCTCCTCAATTTCGAATCCAATGCTTTCAACGCCCTTTGGCATTTTCCAATCCTGGATTTTATATTCGTCATCTCCGTTTCCTTGATACACTCTGTTACAAAAATATTGAGACTGTTGTTGACCCTTCACAACATCATGTTAAACCATTTCACTCACCCTACTTACGTATCACGATGTTAAAATTCCGTTTCTGTATGCAGATTCTCTTCTCCTGTTACGTGTGCTATGATAGGGTAAAACTTTACATGGTAAACAAAAAAGTGTTACAAAAGTATTGAGACAAATGTTAAAATGCCTATTGTAAGTAGTTTTGAGTTCTATTATTGGTATCTTTAACGATTGTTTTACTTGAATCGTTCAGTACAAAGAGACAGAAAAGCATATTACATTTGATCAAATTCAAACCAATATTGATACCAATATCAAGGCTGAGAAGGTAGAAGGATATTTAATGGTTTAAATCAAGGTTTATAAGCCATATTCAAGGTCTACGAAAGGGTTCGAGTCGTTCGACTAAGTTTATTAAACGATTTTTGGAAATCAGTAAATGAAAAGCAATCGATCAAGTGCGCATTCACACTGGAACTAGGCAATGATATATCGTACTTTGTTGTTAATCGTGTCTTAGTCATCTCTGGGTGGTGTACCTGATCCAAACGGAATTATTTGCTATTGCTGCCTGATATCAAAAAAACATGTTCGTTTAACGTTTGTTCATAATCCCTGATATCATGTTTCTGAATAAAATTATGTGTTCTAGACGATGAAAAGCTTTTAAAACAACATGAACGTTGTTATTCAACATCACGATCATGTTTTTCATGACAAAATCATATTTATTTACTAGAGAAATGTAGTATTTCGAATATTTTAATCTTTTTTGTTGGTAGCAATTCAGATGCAATATTCCTGAAGTTTATTGATATCACAATGACTTCTAATATTTATATATAACTTATATAGCATGCCATTGCCTCGTTTGTCATTATAAAACCTTATCAATACAAAAATCAGTATGATAACAATCTGCCCAAAATACATGAAAATATAAGAATACATGTGAAAGAATAGGTAGTNAAACAACATGAACGTTGTTATTCAACATCACGATCATGTTTTTCATGACAAAATCATATTTATTTACTAGAGAAATGTAGTATTTCGAATATTTTAATCTTTTTTGTTGGTAGCAATTCAGATGCAATATTCCTGAAGTTTATTGATATCACAATGACTTCTAATATTTATATATAACTTATATAGCATGCCATTGCCTCGTTTGTCATTATAAAACCTTATCAATACAAAAATCAGTATGATAACAATCTGCCCAAAATACATGAAAATATAAGAATACATGTGAAAGAATAGGTAGTGTAGTGATAGATAAGTCTTTAGCATCATCTAACTAAAAATGCATGCGTTTAGGTGACCACTATGATATGAAATAACAGTAAACTTCATGAATTGATCAATCAGGTAAAAGTTGTGATTACAGAACACTTCAATGTAATCCGAGTTACATTAAGTATAAACAGGTTGTTTTGATACCGAGTACCATCTAATAAGTGATCAAAATCCTTAAAAAGAATATTAAATTCTAAGTCTCAATACTTTTGTAACAAAATTATAATCATAAAGTTTAACCCTTGCCACAAAATATTGAATATGTATTGTTACACCTTGACGTCTATTGTGGCATCGTTTAGTACTCATTTGAACCTGAATAATCTAAAACTAAAAACATCTGAGACATAACAAACACCCTACAGAAGTCTCAATATTTTTGTAACAGAGTGTAGGTAATGTCAGCACATCCGTTTATTTACCGCGTATATAAACAGCTATGGATGCTATCACTATCACTCCTGTTGGGTAGGAGTAAGTGACTATTCGTAAGATCACTAAGAGTGTCACTCCTATCAATCACTGACTATAAAAGAAACGTCATTTTGAGAACCCCAAGAATGGAACCGGAATCTTCAATAAACAGTACATCCAACAACTCCTATGAAGGACATTCATTCCCATTAAAAATTTGCCTATCTTTCAAATAGAGAAACACAAGACTACATTAAATTACTAGGATGCATCTTTGTTATAAACATACATAAGCAACAGGTATACCATACTAGACAACCACAGTATCTTTGTTTTAA